AAATCGACCTCCGGACAAACGCTTTCGCACTAAGCGCTTCATTTGGATAGATTTGATTATCCAACCACTGAGCTCGGCAAATAAATTATCTGGCAGTTTTTACTATTTCACGCAGTAGGTATTCGTACATGGGTTCGAGTGTAGACCATTGCTTTCACTGATATAAAATTTTCGATTTTTTGCAGTCCCACTTCTCTGGGATATTAAAGGGAATACCAGACGACCATCTGCAGGTTTTTATCGTTGATGCTTGCTACATTAGCATTGAAACCATTGGCAATGAAATTACGCCGCCTAAGATTGGATTAAATTCTGTAACTTAATGAATTCGTCTTCTTGTAGGTCCTCTAGTTCATGAGACGATTGGATTTTTTGATTGTTCAGATTTTACTGTTATTGATGAAGTTTCTGGACTTTTTTCAATCATTTCTAAAGGAGAGAGCATATTGATCGATCTGTCAAGTAATTTCCTTCCTGACATTTCCATTGTAGCACTTCGTATTTCTCCATCTCTTTCTCTCTTAAACTTCTTTATATTCTTTATCTTTGCTAATTCTCACCTGCCGCGTGGAATTTCAGGTTCATTTAACAGCATGGCTTCGTTGCGAGTTTCTCACAACTCGCCTTTCTACATTTTTCGATGAGTACAATTCATGTTCTCTTAAGTTAACTAGATATTCATTTCTCCAAAAGTCCCAGAACACGTTCAAGGTTTTTAGAGTATTGTTCCAATACTTGACGACCTTGTCCTTAGTATTGATTTTAATATGGCGTGTATTGATTATTATTATCATCGGACGATATTTGTAGCTGGGCATTTGGCGAAATGAAATTGTATTATTACTTGATAGTCATCAAAGTTGATGTTAGTGGACGAGTATTGAGAATACCCTTTATCTTCATTATGAGGCCAATTAACTCTGTTTCTCATTGGAGTTTTTGCCTGTGGCTATCCTGAAGGCCTTTATTATGAGGTTAACTATTCTTTCATAAACAACTACTGCCTACAGAGCTTTAGGTATTATATTCATCCATATTATCCTTTTTCTTGCCAAGAAATCCGAATCCCTTTGCACAATGGTCTTGAACACTAATTGAAATTGATCGGCGTAGTCGCCCAAAACCAATTTAGAGTATCCACGTCGAGCTACAAATCTCCTTAGTAGATGCATAAAGCTTTCGGCGGATAAGTTCTCAACCATTTCCGGATGTACTGTTCTGGTTAGTAAAGCAGGTAAAAAGAGCGATCCATGTTTTGATAACGTCAGTATCAATTTTGACAAAGGGAGGACCTGGACAGTCTAATCCAATTTGTTTGAAGGTTTTGTTATTTTTTGTTGTGGATGCGATGAGTCGCGAGAGGAAAATTTATTGAATAGTAGAATTATAGTAACCAATATAATACAATAATAGTATTAGGTAATAAATAATGGAGGATGCAATAGTTAGTAGTACAGTGAATCAGAATAGGAATGGTAAGTAGTCAAATTAAGGGAGATAGATGTGGCGCTGATATAGCCTCGATAGAGAAATTTTTCTTCTGGACCTCGAGAATCCGTTATCGCAGCATTTATATTGGCCATGAGTAGATTGGCCTTACGATAACATACAGAGGTATGCAAGATTTAAACACAAGACAAAGAGCATTGTATAATTTAACTATCAAATGTACACAACCGCAAGACAGAGGGCATTGTTGGAAGATTTGAAGCTTAGTTAACTAACTCATCTGAAGACACTTCAAATATGGGAAAACGTTTTATATTTTTTGCGTAATAAGTTTGTTATCCCGTAAATGCTTAATACAACAAATTCTTTGGTTACTTGAACACATTACGACTTCCTTTGGGTTTCCCGACACATGCATTGATTTAAAGCTCTTTTAATTTCTCTTCTTTTGGAATCCAAAATCTACGCCTCATTTCTGATAACGATGGGCAATTCCTGTGTGATATAATTCCTCATGTTCTTGTTGGATAAGAAGCTCTGTTGTAGGATGGTCTTTAAGTAGATGAGTTGGATACTCACTATCATCTTCCATTTCTGAATTTTCCAATCGACCTTTGGCTCTTCCTAAGTTTTTGGTTGATCATAATATAAATTCCACTTGTTTATTTTCTCTTCAATAATATCAACCGACTGCGTTTGTTTCATTAGCACCCACTCACCCATTTTATAATCGTCGATTGTAATTTGAGATCCTTCAGACAGTGGTAATAGCCAAGATATTTCCCTTTCAGATATGAACTTTATAAACTTGAGAGTCTAGATGGTTGTTCTCAGTATCCCTATCCAAGTACTAAAGCGGATACTTTGTATAAGTTGGAAAGTCGGAAATTCCTTAATCTGAGAGACATCAATGACTTCATTTACAACTGTTTCTTCGACTTCACTGTTTTTCGTAAATCATGGCCAATTAATTTTTTCATCTTTTAACCATTCACTATGATTTGAAGCTTCTCAGTTGTTTAGGAGAGAGTCCCTTTGTAGCTACATCTACCGAGTTTGTAGTCCCTTTGTAGCTACATCTGCGATATCCAGTTGTTTCATAACAAATTGAGTTGCTCGACTCCTATAAGTATGGCGAACAATTCCAGCCGAGGTATAGTTTGTCGGGATAATCCTAGATTTAGCAAATATTAAAAGCGGTTGTGATTTAAACGTTTGCCGCCGAATATGTTACACTTGAAACATCCGTGAAAACATGAAATTCCAGATATCTCAGTGTGTATTTACAAATTTGAATGTAGAATGTAGCGTAATAAAAAATATGCTTTTCTAACTTCTCTGACTTGATTTTGTATAATTTTTGAGAGTAATTTCGAATAGTTTGCTACCCAATATAGAGCATATTTGGAATGACCATAAGGATGCCTTACAGTCTTCCATATCCAATTGTTTTATAACAGATTGAGTTGTCCGGACTCCTATAAATATGGCAAGCAATTCCTATAGCAAATATCAAGATTTAACGGTGATTTAAACGTTTTAGGGTTGATTTAAACGCTTTAGGAAATACTGCATATATTGCCGCTGAATATGCTACACTTGAAGTATCCGCGAAAACATGAAATTCCAGATACTTCGATGAATAGCTACAAACTTTGGTAATTCTTCCAAATTCGTTGGCCACTCACGTACGAGATTCCCATTGTTTTTTATCGTCATCATTTATCACTTGATCCCATGTGTTTCGTTTCGCCATAAATGCTGAAGGGATAATTTGATTCTTATAATGGCAGAGACCAGAAATCCCAGTGGGTTATATTGGGAGGCCAAGAATTGTAAGACTATTTTTTTTGTTGTTTCATTTTCGGACCTTGGTCGTAGAACTACTTAGATAGTGCCCCGATTGTTCATCCATTTAATGCCAAGGAATTTTCTTTGGTCTAATTGTGCTCTATCGTGGTCGGTATTACTATGTCAAATCCTTTGTCACTGGATGGAAATTCTCGTATATTCATCGAAGCTCCGTTGAATATGGACTTCACTTCCACATACTTTTGTAAAGCTTCTGATGATTCCTCCTCAGATATGATGGCACTATCGACATGAAGATTTTTTCTTATCTAAATCACTCCCTGTATTCTCCAGGTGATAATCGAGTGCAACAAATAGTAAAAAGGGAGATGATGTTATTCTAAAGGAAACTGTTCGAAATCGGTAGCATTTCAGATTTTGTTTGGATACCTCACTTTGATATTCTTCAGCCAGAGAGATCGAATGTAATTTTTTCCTTCGAAGTGTAACTCCAGTTGTAAGAAAGCCTTTTTTATATTTGCTGTTATTACCTTTTTCATTAATCTAAAACGAAGTAGTATTCCAACCAAGTCTGGAAGTGATATTGGGCCTCGATATAACACATTATTTAAACTCTCAGCTCATTTGAGGTGAGCCAAAGCATCATGTACAATTCTTAATTTGGTTATACTTTTGGTGGGAGTTACTAATTCCTGGTGAAATAAACAATGAATTATATTAACCTAGTCCATATTGAGTTGTACTTCTTCAATTATATTAGAGTGCATTGATCCTTTATCATCTCATCATACTGCCGAAGTCGTTGTTCATTTTGTTGGAGTCTTCTAACCAACATTTTCAAACGTTCAAAGCACAATCCAAAGTTATCACTTCATTTGACATTCAATTCCTTCCATGCTCAACGAACCTGATATCTTTCTTTGTGTTTAGTGATACTTTTTTTTAAAATTATTCCAATGCTTGCTCGTTATCATGAGGATTTGGTAATACACATTAATTTCGATGAATTCCAATCACCAGAATTGATCTATATCTGGTTTACAAGTTACATTGGCCACACATATTAGATTATTGCTCGTGAATTGTTCAATATTAGTAGTTTGTTTATATTCTCTACTTCCAACTAATATAGATCCAATTTGCGACTGAAGCAAAGGGGAACCTGAACTCAGTTGTTGAATTCCTTCCAATCGAATAAATTTGAAGTAATCGCTCTAATAAGTAGCTCTAATAAGATATTAGCAAATAAGTATGTCAGGTTGTTGCCGTTATCCCTTCAAACCGTGGAAATCATTATTCGCATTCATAGTTGATAGTTCGATTATTTGTAACTCGTTCGTAAGATGATCTATTACATTGGTTTCGATTATGATAGTTTCTTCTCTGGTTAATACTCTAATTTGTATCTTAGATGACAAACGCAAAATGGGTATTTTGAAGCTGAATGAAGCTATTTTGAGTTCTGGTCCCTCAACTTCAGCTACTTTCAGCCAATTTCCAGTACTTCCGATATGAATGGTAATTGTTAACCAATGTCAAAAAATGCTAGAGCTTATCCTTGGAGAATAGGCATTTCTGGGTTGAACACCCTTATATTTTCTGCATTAAAGTAAAACTTAATTCGCTTTAGTCATTATCGAGTTTGTTTACAAACTGTTATCATCCGCTTCATTTACAATTTTTGAATTACGAGGGATAATGTATTTGCCTACTATCAGCAAGCTTTCTTGATATATTCGATGATGCATCCTTACACAAGAATGTATTACGTGATTTTCCACAATAAAAGCATCATAATTTGGTTTTACAGTTCACTGTATTGACCTCTCTTACCTCCTACATGTAACGATAAAGATTTTTTTTAAGTGTTCCATTCATCCTTTGATAGTTGGATAGAAATAGCATTCACTTTCCCAATGATCATTATTACAGAAAATGCAAGTGCTTCTCGGTCTTCATACAAGATTTGGAAATTCGTTCGGTATGATTCGGCTTCGGCTGGTTAATGACCACTAAAGCTAATGTTTTATATGGCGAATCCATTTGTTTTCGATTAGGGTCTGACTCCTTTTAATTTTGACCCCTTTCAATCTTCATAATAGAAAATTAATTTTTTACATTTAATCATTTCCATTGATCAATTTTCTGAAAAGTTCATTTAATTTCATGACTAACCAACACGGGTCTTCTCCATGTTGCTGATAAACATTTTTCTTATATCCAACGTATTAGTCCATTTTCAATCGCTGTTGCTATGCTGGAGTGTTCGAAATTTTCTGTTCGAGACGCTTCCAGTTGCCGAAGTACTGTTTCCATAGTCTCGATAGTTATTATCCACTCTCTATCAATTTTCTATCATTTTTCTTGGTAGAGTAAACTTCATTGTGAAGGATTTGATTATTTTAAAACGGATTCCTATATTTTTCCAATAATATATTCTTTATTATATCGTAATTTTCTAGAGTAACATCATAGTCTCTCATCGCTATTTCCCTTGAGGCGAGAGATCAAATAATTCAGTTTTTTATACAGATATTCTGTATCCCAGCGGTTATTTCCTCGTGCTTTACTTCTTCCTTAAGCAACACATTTGTGAAAGTATTCCATCCATTCGTCATTATTCGTTGTTACCAAACAGTAATACAGTTTGAGGAGTTTTATTTTTTCGATAGGTTGCTTCTTGCCTCGTACCGGTGTTGCATTTCTTCCTTGGACAGTTGCATTGAGGAGTCGAATTTTTCTTTAACCGGTAAGGCGTGCAATTATTATTGTGGACATTCCCGCTCGTGGCACCAATTTTGTTGAGAAAAATTTAGTTGTCTTTCTTTGCACAAATAAAACTCGAATTCCTTGCTTTCTTTATTGAAAGAAAGCTAGTTTCTTGCGTTAGGAGGAACTGTTTTGTTAAGATCGAATTATGAGTATTTTCGTATGAAATGGGTGAAAATCTAATCTTTTCATGTAGCAGAATCCCAGGAATACGAATTATCGGGAAACCCAAAGGAAGTTGTGATGTGCTGAAGCAGCTAAAGAATTTGTTGTATTGAGCACTTACGGGATAAAAGACGTACCGCACTACACGAAAAAACCGTTTTCCCACATCTAAAGTGATAAGTTAGTTATGTAAGCTTCAAATCTTCCAGCAATGCCTTTTGTCTGATGTTGAGCTTGTGTACATTTGGTAGTTAAATTATGCAATCCTCTTTGTCTTATGTTGAGCTTGTGTACGTTTGGGAGCTAAATTATGCAGTGTTGTCTTGAGCTTATATACATTTGGTAGCTAAATTATACAATGCTCTTTGTCTTATGTTTAAAATCTTTGTATGCCCTCTGTATGTTATCGTAAGCCCAACCTGCTCATGGGCAATATAGAAGCACCGATAACGGATTCTTGAGGTTCCGAAGAAAAATTTCTTTGTCGGCGCTATATCAGCGCAACATCTATCTCCCTTAACTCGACTATTCACCATTTCTATTCAAATTCACTGTACTACCCAACTATTACAATCTTTATTTTTCTATTACCTTACACTATTGTATTACATTGGTTGCTATAATTTTACTATTCAATAAAACTTCCCCTCGCGACTTATCGCATCAACAATAAATAACAACGAAACTTTCCCGACAATTTGGTGCCACGGCCGGGACCATAACGACGAGCTTAAAATCAAAAACGCGCAACTAGCAATAACAAAATTAATTAAACCCTTGGATGAAGTATGAAACCCGGATTTGTCGACACCGAATCAGGAGCTGCCGTTGGACGAATAACGTCAACAGTATGAAGCAAAAAAAAAAAAAAAAAGCAATAATCGAAGAAAAACTACGGCGCTTCGAAATACACATTGGTTATTTGGAATCAGTCAATACGAAATGGTTGGATCATATCAGTACGATAGTTACTTCAAAAAAACGAAGAAAAATACACTCAAATGGTCGATGACGAAAGGGGTGTTTCAGATTCGGTAACTGAAGGTGAAGAAGCTTCGACGTTCGACACCAGATATCACACGGTACTCCCTACAATGAAGACACTAATTGGAATAAGAAGTGAGAATAAAGAGACAATATTTTGTGGAGTAAATGTGGTCGACTTTTAACAGGTGAACTTCAAGTAGTGGATATACCATCTGCTATGGATGAGAATGGCCAATTAGTAGGCCTAATTTTCTACCGGAGGAGACCAGATATACTGATTGGAGCCAACTACTTCAGATTTATACAACTGGAGAAGATTCAACAAATGAATTCAGGATTTCCCTGCTTCAGACAAAATTGGGTCTCATGATTTGCAGAAGTGGATATATCGAAGAAACCGGTCGAATTACTCATAATACAGTTAAACTTAAGTGTATTACTAGTGTACGCCGTGTTCCAGATATGGATCAATTCTGGAAACTGGAATGCATAGGAATACATGAACAACCTTACGATCATGATAACGAACGAACGCTGGAACAATTTTAAAAAAATATAATCAAAATAAATGGAAAATATCAAGTACGATGGCCATTTGAAAGAATCCGCAGCTAAATTAAGTGAAAATTGTTATGGCCGACTAAAAAATTTGGTTGTACTTCAGTTTCGTCAACTAGAATCGAACAATATCATGAAATGATTCAGGATCAGTTGTGCTCGGACATAATTTAGAGAGAGTAGAACCTCATATAGACTAGGCCGGTGTTACATATTATGTGCCTCACCATAACGTGCTGATTCCCGATAAAGATACAACTAAATTGAGAATTGTTTATGATGCTTCAGCATGCGTGAAGGGATCGGAGAGTTTAAATGAGATATTATGTCGTGGCACCAAATTGTTGGGAAAGTTTTGTTTTTTGTTGATGCGATAAATCGTATAGTAAAATTATAGAAACCAATATAATACAATAGTATTACATAATAAAAATTAGAGGATGCAATTGGTTAGTATTACAGTGAATTTGAATAGGAATGATAAATAGTTGAGTTAAGGGAGACAGATGTTGGGCTGATATAGCGCCGACAAAGAAATTTTTCTTCTGAACCTCAAGAATCCGTTATCGGAGCTTCTATATTGCCCATGAGTAGGTTGGGCTTACGATAACATTCAGAGGGCATACAAAAATTTAAACATAAGACAAAAAGGATTTGTATGATTTAGTTGCCAAGGCAAAGAGTATTGCACAGAGAGCATGGGGAAACGTTTTATATTTTTCATGAGTCTGTAATCCAGTCAATGCTTGATACAATTTTCCCTCGGGTTTCCTAAGACAGATAGTATTTACTAATTAAGTAGGAATTAATGCGAATGAGATACAATCGTTACGAGGAATAGACTGGAATGAATTATTGGGAGGTAAAATAGAAAAGAGCAGAATAACAACCTGGATCGGTGATTTAAGTGAAATTGCAATGATTCCTTTGCAGGGATATAAGCGCATGTAGAGCTGAGTGAACAGTACCTGTTATTATCAAATCTTAATTAATTTTGAGAAGAAGAATAGCTGCCTATAAAATCTCCACAAAACTGACAGTATTCTCATAGCTGCAAGAGAAATTTACATACAAGATTAGTTTTTTTTTTTTAATATATATGAAGAGGAAATTGCATGGAAATTTTTTTGTCAGATGTACAGCTTCCTCAGAGCTGTATCTAAAATTTGTACATAGGATAAAGCGTTCACAAATTAATTGCTGAATGTATGCAAATCTCGATATCAGAAAAAAAAACAAAAAAGAAAAATTTATTTGAAGATTAGATAACTGACTCGTCATTTTTAGGTGTGAGAAAAACGTTATATATATATATATATATATAATATGATAAATCGTTTATTTGGAAAATACTGCAACAAATACCTTTATTGTTTTAACATATTATAAATTTTCTCGGTTTTTTCAACATTAGTAATTTCATTTTCACGACATAAGATGTTATCATTGTATAGAATGGTTTATGTGTTCATTGTTTAGTAATGCACTAGAGTCCTACATTAATGTACTCATCTTGCAATCGTAAAATCAGTCCTTGAAAAGAATATACATGCAAACCCTGCATACAGCAAGAGAGTATTCTTCATTCCATTTATTCTCCAGATTGGTGTCTACGAAATTCATCTTGTGGCTACGTTTTTGGAATTGGCTTCATGTGTTAATTTGTATTTTATAATTCTTAATGATTATGCTACGCTAATATTGTCTCATTTATTAAATGGCCTAACTACGCAATTTGAGGTGTGAATAAAGAAAAATTTGCAACTCTATGTCACATTGCGCAAGATATTTCCCAGAATACAAAAATTTTCCACCTTAATAAAACTCATTAAACTATATCAAGAAAAAAAAAGAAAAAAGAAAAGAAATGAAGGACAAGTTGGCACGCTATGCGATTTGTATAAAAGCTTAGGAGAAGCATTTTAAAAAAGATATAAAAAATGCGAAAAAATGGAACATTTGACCTATAGTTTCTTTTTCAACGTTTGCATATGTCGGGGAAAGATGGTTGTTGTAATTCCACTGTATTAATAATAACCTTCATTAGTTTTATGCGATATGGTACAATATCGTACGAAACAACAATAGGAACGAAATGACACAATAAGTATTAAAGGATATCGACGGTCTTGTCGCTCATGCTATTGAAACTGTTGTATTACCTCTTTTCTGCTATTGAACTGTTGTTGTGGTTAAGTGCCTGACTATCCTTGAGTGTTTATGCGAGCTGTAATATTGAATAACTCAGCGAGCTGTCGATTGCGAAACTGCTGGATCTATTAGATTGAATGACTGCTGGAGTATCGGATTTAATAACTGCTCGAAATTTTTAGATTTGGTAACTAATCGTCAGGATAATTGATCTTAGCTTCTTTTATAGTGGGAGTAGTTTAACATTTTCTCAGACAAATTGACTTAACTGCCAAACTAGAAGTTCTTTAAAAAATTTTGACATTTACATACAAGTTCTTTACAACATTCCGACAATTGCGTGTAAGCTTGATTAACAGATTGAAAAAAGTTTACAACAAAGGGCTTTGTCCTGGTTTAAAACTGGTTAAAAAATTGGAAGAACTGGATTTGAATAAATGGTTCATTACTTTAGGTATCGAAGTATGAATTTTATTAATTTTGCTTAACAAGTCATTTACCTTAGAAATATTCTGAATTTTAATTAAAACAACTCATAACATTTTTTCGGCTTTGCCGCAACAATCATCATCTTTTAGAAACTAATATCTTTTCTGCTTAACAACTAATCTGATAACTTGCGGTCAATTGTGATCTTGGCAAGAATAACCGCTTCAAATTCATTTATGGCATCAGAACCTCAATTGAACAGACTCATCTTCCGATATCAACAAATATTTCCATCAACTAAAACGAAATGAAGACGTAAGCCTTAATGTAATAATACAAATTGTACACCACCAATCATATTTGCAGGAATTTTGGATTCCTTATTATGCTGTCATTTGTTGTCACCAAATGTTTGATTACTTTAACGATAATGTAAGTTAAAGTGTTTGTTGTCATCACATCATTCATTCTATTTACATATCTGCTAATGTTTTTTTTCCACTTCCAGTATAATATTATCAGTTGTTAAAACGGATGCACAAGTCTTTGTCCGAACCATTGGATCGTTCAATCGCAATTTTGCAGGCGGTAACGTAAGTTTCCTACTTCGTGTTAGTTTCATATCTTGAAGTGTCACAACTGTACAACACATTAAACATTAGTATTCATTTAAACAGCAACTTTCGCAGTAAAAACTTATTTTAAATTTAAGTCACTGAACAATAATGGTAACGCAATACAGAGATTCAGTGATGGTGGAAGTGGTCGGAAAAGAAGTCGACCAAGACAATCTACTCAAGCTCCTTTACGGCTCAGGCCACAAGCACTTGGATTTCTCTTTAAGAAATTATTTCAAAAGCGTGGTAAAATGTACTTGGGGTTAAACATGCTTGAAACTATTTTTGTGAGTTTATTTCTAAGATCATTGATGGAGGCTTCCCATATTTTTCTCTATATAGTTCTTATCCATATTACCGTTACCGCCCTTTTATTATGGATAATTGTTCCATTTTCTCCAAATATCTTTGTATCATTGTGCAGATTTTAAATTTTAAAAATTATGCAAAACTTTGTTTAACATTCTATTCTATGTCAAGCTAATAAATAGATTGTGAATTGAATCAATGCTAAAAATATATTGAAAGTCTATTCGAGCGCAAGTTATCGTCATCAAAGTCATTCACGGCTCCGTCATGGTTTATAGTATTTATATTAATCGATAATTTATGGATTGAAACGAAAAGCCGAAAATAAATGATTATAGTAGTAATTGGCTAATTTCGAACCAATCACTGAATTGTTGAAATGTTGTGATAAATAAGGAATTAAAAAGCAACAATTTTCTTGATATATAATAATTTTGAATTCGCATCTTCAGAATTTCTTAAAACTTCGTACTAAAAAGGCTAAATGTGTAGGACAGCGCGTGTTAAAAGCAGAATAAAACCTTGGAACTATGCACCAATTACACACATATCGGTTATTTCTTTTTTTTTCATTTTCTTTATACAGCCAAATGCAACTGCTGATTGACACGATTCGATGATGTTCATCACTCTAAAATGCCATTTTCTTCAATTAAAATTGATTTAATAAATGGTTCAATCAATAAGTTAAAAAATGGGTCGTTGGAAGGAACACATAGAAAGTTGTAACTTCTTCAACAATCACTAATTTGTTGAACTTTCATCAAGAAATATGCATCCACTTTGTTCTCCTGGTTCCATCCTTCTCAACAAGCACTTTTCCTTATTCGAACGAATTCGCGGTTAAACGTTCAACCAATGGTAGCCTGATACATTCAAATATTGGAATTAGGATTAGTTAAAAATATGAAAAAGTTGTATTTAGAAATGAATCATCACTTTAGATATTGAATTCTTTATTTCATAGATTATATGCAATAAATCATTTATCTGAGAAATATTCCAAATTCTAATTAAAAGCACTTTATAACATTTATTTACTTTTGCCGACAGAATATTCAAAAAGTAACCTTTGAAGAGTATATTTGCATCACTTTTTTCCACCTGTTCTAATTGAATAAGGGTGTATACTGTAAAAAAACAAATTAAAGGTGTAAAAAGGTGCAAAGGAGAAATTAAAAAAGCTAACCTTTTTTAAATTCATTTTATATGTTTATGAAAGATTTCTTTAAGCTTGTTACATTCCCTGTAACTCTAGATGTCGGAATTTTACAAATTAATTTATCAGGGCTAGAAGAAAATTTTGTAGATAGGATCGATTTTGAAATGATTTCTCTTTTAATTTTTTATAAAGTATTAAAGTATTGTATTTGCAGGAAAGGATATTAAATATTACAAGTAAACAAATTACGAAGTGTTTATCTTTTTTCAACACTTTTTTATTAACCTTGTAATGTTCTAATAGCTTAGATGAATTGTAAAATCGTTTCAAAAAAATATGTTTAATAAATTATCACGTAATATCATGTTCAATGGCATTGTTTTAACCGGCACCTTAATTAGAATAGCATTGCAATTAGACTGCTAGCATACACAATCATTTTATCGCATTATCGTAAATTCAACAAATATTTATTACTGCAATTTGTTCATTGTTGAAAATTTCAAATTTACTTGCAGGTGAAAAAAAAAAGAATGAGATAAAAAATCATAGAAAATACATCAATTTCTGACTAATATTATATTATCAATATTAGACCTGCGATGAAACTATTAGGCATTTCAAATGTCGTTTTAAAATTTTCCAACTATTTGCAAGCTTTATATTGGAAAATAAATTCTACATAGTACTGCGAAATTATCAAGTTATCATTTAATTAAAACAAGAGCCTAAGATTGAAACTTGAAGTTTTCGAAATTTAATTTACAATCCATAATCACATAAATATTGAGGTATTGTAAGCATTCCTCTAATAAATGACTTAATAATTATTTCCATCGAAAATCATATCATACTTCTTTGGTACTTTTTATCATCAATTGCAAGAGATCATTTTCCGTAATTGTTACTGATCACTTTTGATAATTTGTTTTTCCATCCAACATTGATTATCTGCTTTTCCCATCTTATATCACAAATTTATCATCAAATTGTCTAAAATTTTTTCTGTTAATTCTTTGTTATTCATATATTATAAAATTAAGTAACAGCCTTTTTTCCTCATGTTCCTTTTTTTTGGTTAACATTATATTACCAATATTTCGAAAACTTCAAGTTTCAATCTTAGGCTCTTGTTTTAATTAAATGATAACTTGATAATTTCGCAGTATTTTGTAGGATTTATTTTCCAATATAAAGCTTGCAAATAGTTGGAAAATTTTAAAACGACATTTGAAATGCCTAATAGTTTCATCGCAGGTCTAATATTGATAATATAATATTAGTCAGATATCAATATTTTTAGTATAATATCATTAACATTTTTAGTGATATTAATTTTAAGGACCAATTTCTCATTTTTAAATTTTTTTCCCCAAAATATTATGATTCTTTTTTTACTGGCAATTACTAGTATTATGAAGGTCACAATAATTGAAAAGTAAAAAAAAAATTCGATAGAATATCAGCGTTTCGCACTTTCCTTTCATAAATTCTGAAATTTATTTTTTTTAAAAAAAAAACCAAATTTTCTTTTAAATTAACATTAAATGAACAAATATTTGTACAATGAGAAAAGAATTTATTAGGAATAAATAAATTTTGTTGCTTACAAGCAAAAATAAATAAATTTTGTTATTCAGAAGTAGAAAGAAATAGATTTTACTGTTTGAAAATAAAAATAAGCTTTGTTGGTTAAAAATACAAATAAATGAACTTCATTGCTTAGATGATTGTTTAGAAGTAAGAGTTTCTAAGAATTCAAGCAAAAACTAAAAATTCTAAACAATGATATTAAAACGAATTGTAACAAATTAAAATATTTTCATAAATAATTCTTTTCCTACTCCAATAATTTTAAAACTGTTATTAATTCTATGAAGTTGTCCAGTCAGTCCTTTTTAGACAGTTTATTGATAGTGAACAATATTATTGTTCTTTTGGAAAAATTACTTGATGAATAAATGTGTTATTGCAATCTCAAAAATAATTAACAAATTAGATTGAAAGTATCAAGTTCAATTAATTTTTCCAAAAAGAATCCTTACTTTCAATTAGATTTCTGATCTAAATCTTCTTTCTAATTATCTTGAGATTCGAAGTTTTTCATAGCAAACAATGAAAATCGTCTTTTTAATTACAGACTGAAATGGTTCACAAGCATTTGTGTTTAAGTTTAATTTCAAAATTGTTGTAAATAGGTTAAAAAGTTGAGCTAAGTTATTAACTGTTATTAAACCATTATAAAATTCATTCTGTCGAGCCTTTTTCGAACAATTTACTGATAGCAAACAATATTGCATTTTATAGATAAAAGTATTATTACAATCTTTAAAATAATTGGCAAAATTAGATTAAAAATATATTACGAAGAAATTTGACAATTTCTATTTCATTCCCTTTTTATCGCTTCCCTTATCCTTTCTCTTCAAGTTTTCTCTAATGAACACATCTGCATCATTCGATTGATTAGAACATAATTTTTATGAGGAAATCCAATTTCAATAATTTCGTCGTTTCAAACAAGTTTTTCATCGTTTATTGAGTAATTGAAATTAAATTTAAGTTTACATTCATTTCAACAATACCAATTCATTATAATTCTATTCATCGAAATTTAACTGTAGTTGTTGGATTATCGAATGATTTTTTTTTTAAAAAAAATTCATTTGAATAGTTCATTGATTACTTTTAATTCATATCTTGATGCAAAAAAAATTCTCGACTCTTCTCAGAAATTTTACAATTTCAAAATTTTGGACGTTTTGTTTGTTCCTGTCATAATTAATGGAAAAGCTTTTTCTTTTTTTTTAATTCTTCAGAAAGTTTGCTTGAAAGTCATTTTTTTTCCCCTAAAACTAGAATAGCTTTAGACATACAGGTGAGAAAAGGGAATTGATGAAAGACTGGTTCATTGGTAAAAAATAATTACCGCATATTTTTTAATTTACTATTCTGAAACCTATAACATTTTTTCTTTTATTTTTAAATTTAAGTCAGTATTACTACATTGTTTTATGCTATTTACTAATTTATAAAACAAGTCTATCAGTAATAGTTATAATAGTATCATCCATTGTATCCATAATATAATTTCAAGAATAGAATATCAAAATACCGTTTCAATTTTGTTAAAAAATTTAATTTATTTATTAAGAATAGGCTTTTAACAAAAAATTTTTCTCTATCTTCCATATTTTTAATGCAATAAAAAGTAATTAATTCAAAGACAATCTTTTTTTTTCAAAAAATATTCTATAAAGATTTGAAATGATACGCTAACTTTTGAAAAATACTTTTTTTAAAAATGAGATATTTTATCGCATTTAATTTATTGTCCCTCGAATTCATTCCCCTTTTTATTGCATTGAAAATAAGAAAGATTGGAAAAAATTTTTAAAGCTACCAAGGAACGATTAAATTTTAAATTTAAATGTAAGTCATCGAGGCCAAAACACATCAACCTCTTTTATCCAACTCATTTAATCTCCTCTACATTACTATTTATTATCCATACCATTTTCATCATCATCATCATCATCATTATCAATCATCATCATTATCATCATCATCATTATCATCATCATCATCATCATCATCATCACCATAATCATTATCATCATCATCATTATCATCATCATCATCATCATCATCATTATCATCATCATCATCATCATCATCA